ACAAGCTAGGCTCTGTGATTGCTTTCAGAAGGTCACACTTTAGAGTAGGGCAAGGAAAAGAGGTTATTTATAGGGCAAAGGCAATTTATATTGCTATCAAAAATTGCTTTTTTTCATTTTGCCTCATTTGAAGGACTCCTCCTGCCACATTGGCAGCAAAACTCTCTCTTCAACAGGAATGTTATTTCCAAGTCTTCCGCAACAACCGTGGGTTGCTGTGACCTTTAATGGCACCATGCCACAGTCCTCTCCTTGGCCCGTCCCATGCACTCACTATTACTGGACAGTGCATGTTGCTGTGGTTGTTTTCCCACACATTCTCCCAGGAAAAACGATCAAAGGATTGCATCTCACGGGCTGCAGCCTCCTATGGACCAAGCTTTTCTTGTGCCAGGTTTGCTCCACCAGCCAACAAGCAACACCCTGTAGTTATTCCAAGTAATGTTTGGAGGCCTATTGTCATATGATACTAAAGAGCACACTGGACACAGCTGCCTAATGCACTCAAATAATTCTGTTTTGCTCATCTTGCCCCCTAATTTGAGAAGGTTTACAAATTAAGCATGACTACTTCAGGCCTGGATACTGCAGCATTTGGGATGGGGATACTTCCCTTCCCCATCACGTGGGGGGAAAACACGAAACAAACAACAAAATCAGACATGTAGTACAGATTCTAAAGAGCCAAAGGGGAGGTTTTTTTCAGCCGCCCCCACAGACTAGTATATGGCATCCATTAAAAGTTGCACAAATCAGAGTGTTAATGTCCAAAACTGCTGAAACCCAGTAAAAGACAGTCTTTCACTGCCAAGTGACTCGTACCAGGTACAAAAAGGGCAAAGATGCCCTCAGTGTCAATTTGCCCCATCTAACATCCTCACTGGAAGTCAGGAGCAGGAACCACAAGCACAAAGAGGACAAGCAAATAGGCTGGGCAGGAAATAAGCACTTTTTTATGCATCTGGAGCTCTTCTAGAGATGGACATTATTGGTGTTGATGTGGGCACTTACAGTTGATGTCTTGCTCACTGGCAATAAGATACAAGTAAAGGCCAAGATCTCCTTCAGAAGGAACTTCATAACCTTCCAGGGTAAGGTCCGAAGGATCAGCAGATCCTTCTGTGGCTGACACATGGCCTTGAACAAAAACAACGAAGATACCTCCAGTAGAAACCAGTGGCAGCATCTTTCAGCACAGCTGGACAAAGGCGGAGAGCTACCTGGAATCATCATGGCAAGGACAGACAGCTATCTGCAGGAAGCAAAGCACTTTTTATGTCCAGATTATGGCTAAGAAAGTCAGTCAGTCATGTGCAAGTTAATTATGCAGCACTCTTTCTCCTGGGCAAGTAAGAAGGTGAAGGAGTGCTGAGCATAATCTGCCTTGTATACCCACACACTGAGGAACAATTATGGGTGCAAGAGCATGTTACAAAAGCTAGACAAATTTTAAAAACTGCGCTATAGAACAGTGGTAGAAAGATGCTGAAGTTCTATACCATTTATATTAAATCAGTATCTGATTTATCAGCAAATTAGATCTCCAGCAGAGACCACAAATGCTGCATCTCATTCACAAAATACTTTTATTTGCATGGGACAATAGTGGGAACGGCTCTGGGATGGGCAGAGTCTCAAGCAAGAAGGACGGAACTAACAATTGCTACCTACTTGCATTGAACACTACGAAGAATGAAGGACTGCAAGCAATCCAAAATCACTGTGTCGGGGGAGCACATTTGGCTCCTCATAATCACTTTTCTCCATCAATCTTAATAAACAAATAAAGAAACCAGCTGAGTATGGCCCTTCCTTCAATATGGAACGGCCCTTCCCTAAAAGTCAGGTTGTTCTAATCCAGCAACAGCTACACAAATCACGTGGCTCTTTTGCAGGCTGTTTACCGTGATTGTGACGAAGCCCTGGCACGGAGGCAGAGCCGATGCCCGCGTGGCTACAGACCAGACCTGCTGCTGGATGCGGCTCTGCCCTGCGCACCGGGGCATCGAGGAGGAGCCACGAGGGGCCTGAGCCTACGTGTTCCAGGGGTTACCGAGGAAAAATCCCTCCCGTTACAAGCAGCAGGTGTGTGTGCAGGCTGCGTGCTCGCTGCTATCACCCGCATGGCCCGGGCACACAGCCAGCTCAGGAGACACAGCCCGAGCTCCGCAGGTGTCTCATCCTCGGAGGACTGTTTCCAGGCTAGGAGACGCTCAGCTACTTATGTACATGCACTGCCTCTCTGCCATCCATTCCCCTCCACCCACCGGCAGGGATCAAAGCGGGATTCAGCCTGGAAAGCCATTCTGTCTCTGGCCGCCTCTTAGCCACCAGCTAACTCCACAGGCTGTTTTGTGAAAAGAGAAACTTCTTGCTGGAAACTGAATTCAAACATCAAACTCATCTCGTAACGATCATCTCACAGTCATTCTATGGCCACAAGCTGGGAAATTTCCTGAAGACTGAGCAACCCCCGACCTGCCACCACCTCTCCAGCCATCAATAGCTCCTCACGGCTCAAGCCCAGGATTTCCTGCTTGGGTCCCTTCAGGTCACAGTTTACTGTGCTCCCTGGATCCAACTCATATATGTGCTCTTTAACTCCACTCAAAATACTAGGCATCTGAACACGAACCAGCAGTAAAAAAGTGGCCTTCATATAATCTTTCAAATCAAAGATTACCGTGTGATACATATAATTACAGGCATACATAAAATATAAAACACAAATATATACATATGCATATTCTTGAATTCATCCATCAGGTCCTCCTTACTTTTTGAGAGCAGCAAATGTCATTATACTCCAGCCAAACTTACTGAAGGTCACAATGCAATTAAATGACATAACTAGGAATAGAAAAAGCCCTTGACTATCAGACAAGAAGCCCCTGCAAGGGCTTTCATCTCCAAATAATCCTCTGGCCTACATCACGTTCTTCACATGTGCCTGCTGACATTTTTAACAACAAACTAAGGAAATGGACACCAAAACTTGCCATTTTCACCCCCACTCCTCCCCATTATTAAATAAAGAATACATTACAAGGGCAGGTCATTTATGGCTGTTTTTTTCCTAGTCATAGTTTCTCTTTTTTTGTAGTTTTTCTTGTCACAGAGAAATTAGTTTATTGTGGAGAGAGGAACAACAATTAATTCATTTGTCTACTGACCACTCTGCTCGCTGTATTACTACACAAGCAGAGCAAAATGCC